ATAGCTCCCTTCCTCATTCCCTCCCAATCCCATCCACCTTCTCTCATCTCCTCCCTTCCCCTTTCCAAGTACATTGATAGGGGAGGACCTCCTCCAATTTCATCTGATCTGTGGCCTAGCAAGGCTGCTCCTCCCTTGGGTGGTAGGGGGAGGTCTAAGAGCCAGCCATTGAGTTCATGTCAGAAATAGTCCCTGTTCCCCTTACTAGGATACCCACTTGGATACTGAGCTACCATTGGCTACATCCAAGCAAGGATTCTAGGTTATATCCATACATGGTCCTTGGTTGGAAATACAGTCTCATAAAAGACCCCTGTGCCCAGATATATTAGGTCCTTGTGGATCCCTGTCCTCTCCAAGTCATACTAAATCCCCCTTCTTTCTTATGATTCCCTGCACTCTGCAGAAGGTTTGGTTATGAGTCTCAGTATCTACTATGATACACTGCTAGGTAAAGTCTTTCAGAAGCCCTCTGTGGTAGGCTACTGTCCTATTTCTTGTTTTCTCCTATATCCAATGTCCATCCCGTTTGTCTTTCTAAGTGAGGATTAATCATCTTACCCCAGGTCCTCTTTCTTGTTTATCTTTTTTAGGTGTACAGATTTTAGTATGTTTATCCTATCTTATAGGTCTATATAAGTGAGTATATACCATGTGTGTCTTTCTGCTTCTGGGATACCTCACTCAGAATGATCTTTTCTAGATCCCACCATTTGCCTGCAAATTTCATGATTTCCTTGTTTTTAATTGCTGTTTAGTATTCCATTGTGTAAAAGCACCACAATTTCTGTATCCATTTCTCCTTTGGTGAACATTTGGGTTGTTTCTAGTTTCTGACTATTATGAATCAAGCTGCTATAAACATGGTTGAGCAAATGTCCTTGTTGTGTACTTGAATATCTTTTGGATATATGCCTAGAAGTGGTATAGCTGGATCTTGAGGTAGCACAATTGCTAATTGTCTGAGAAAGTGCCAGACTGATATCCAAAGCGGTTGTACAAGTTTACATTTCCACCAGCAATAGAGGAGGGTTACCCTTTCTCCACAACCTCTCCAGAAAAAAAAAAAAAAAAACAACAAACCTTTAAGTCTCTGAATAAAGAAATTGAAGAAGATATCAGAAGATAGAAAGATCTCTCATGCTCATGGATTGGTAGGATTAACATAGTGAAAATGGCCATTCTGCCAAAAGCAATCTACAGAATCAATCAAATTCCCATCAAAATACCAACACAATTCTTGACAGAACTTGAAAGAAAAATTATCAACTTCATATGGAGAAAAAAAAACAAAAAACAAAAAAACAAAACAAACAAAAAAAAAAAACAGAATTTTCAAAACGATCCTGTACAACAACAGATTATCTGGAGGTATCTCCATCCCTGATCTCAAGCTATATTACAGAGCAATAGTAATAAAAACTGCATGATATTGGCATAGAAGCAGAAAGGTGGATCAATGGAACCCAATAGAAGACCCAGAAATAAACCCACACACCTAGGAATACTTGATTTTGACAAAGAAGCCAAAACCATTCAATGGAAAAAGACAGCATCTTCAACAAATGGTGCTGGTCCAACTGGATGTCTACATGCAGAAAAATGAAAATAGATGCATATTTATCACCCTGAACAAAACTAAAGTCCAAGTAGTTTTCTATTTTCTTTTTTTTCCTCATGTGACCAGCCATTTTATTTTAGTTAATCCCATCATATATATAATCTGCACTCACCTTTTATTTGCAATTTGCTTAAGACTGCCAATAATGTTTCTTTTTAATTTTTACATTTTTTTCTTTATTAATTACACTTTATTCCCTTTGTATTCCCCATGTGGTTCCCTCCCTCCTCCTGTCCCAAAGCCTCCCTTCCTCCACCCTCTGCATGCATGTCCCTCCCCAAATCCACTGATAAGGGAGGTCTTCTTTTCCTTCCTTCTGATCCTAGTCAATTAGGTCTCATGAAGAGTGGCTGCATTGTTTTCTTCTGTGGCCTGGTAATGCTGCTTCCCCCTCAGGGGGAGGTAATTAAAGAGCAGCCAATCAGTTCATGTCAGAGACAGTCCCTGTTCCTATTACAATGGAACCCACTTGGATACTGAACTGCCCTGGGCTACATCTATGCAGGGGTCCTAGGTTATCTCCATGCATAGTCTTTGGTTGGAGTATCTGTCTCAGGAAAGACCCCCATGCTCAGATTTTTTTGCTTCTGTTGTTCTCCTTGTGGAGTTCCTGTCCTCTCCAGATCTTACTGTTTCCCACTTCTTTCCCAAGATTCCCTGAACTCTGCCCAAAGGATGCCCATAAGTCTCAGCATCTGCATTGATAGCCTGCAAGGCAGAGCCTTTCAGAGGTCCTCTGTGTCAGGCTCCTGACTTGTTCCCTCTTTTCTCCTTCTTCTGATGTCCATCCTCTTTGCCTTTCTGGATAGGAATTGAGCATTTTAGCAAGAGTCCTCCCTCTTGATTAGTTTCTTTAGATGTACAGATTTTAGTAGGTTTATCCTATATTATATGTCTATATGAGTGAGTATATACCGTGTGCATCTTTCTGCTTCTGGGACAGTTCACTCAGGATGATCTTTTCCAGATCCCACCATTTACCTGAAAATTTCATGATTTCCTTGTTTTTTATAAAAGTTTTCTATTTTTCAATGGTTTCCTTCACTGCTTCACTGCTTCAGCTTGCCTGTCCTGGAACTGTATAGCAGGCTTGCTTTGAACTCAGAGATCTGCCAGCTTCCACCTTCTTAGTGCTGTGATTAAATGTGGACACCACCACATGCCTGATCCTAAGCTTTTCTTTAATTTTTTTTTCCCAGAATTTGGAGGCTTAGATGAGTTAAATTTTACAGTGAAATCCCTACTCCCTTTATTCCATTTAGCATCAGGCTTTTCTTTAATCTGTTTACACAACCTGGTGCCCTTTTCTGCTCCAACTGTATATATTTTGTATTTTTCCTTGCTCAGTTTTACAGCTGAAAATGGAGAACATAAAATATAATTATAGTAAATGACATTATAAAACATTAAAAATGAAACTAGAAACAATGAAGACAACATAGAGGATAAAACAGTTGTTGTGCAAGCATGAAGATCTGTGTTCGTACCTCCAGAACTCACCAACAGGCAGCATGCTTCTCCTCTAATAACTTGGAAGGTGAAGACAGGAGAAACACTGAGGGCTCATGGTTAGAAAGCCTGGCATATACAGTTGGAGCATTTGCACTTATCTTTAACAAGGTTAAAAGATAAGGACCAACACCACAGTTTATACCTGAATTCCACAGGAACACATGGCTGACATATTTACACACTCAAGCACGAACATGCACACACACAGACATACATACAAACACATATGCACATGCACACACAGTTTTATAACATTAAAGTTGAATGGTCAACAAAATATAAGTAAAAATATTTGAACATACATAAAATGTCATTTTCAGATAATTTTTATCATTGCATACTTAAGATTTTTAAACAAATATTTATTTGTATGCAATGCTTTTCCTATTTGAAGTTAGTTTTTCAGGAATTGCATACAATAATTTTTCACCATATTTACCCCTACTTCAACACCTTCCAGATTCACCCTACTGCCTTACACAAATTTGAATCCTTCTTCTTTGCCCCCATTTATCTAATTTAGTCTGCACTTCTCATGTAGCCAGTGACCATGCACTGGATGAACCAACAGACTCATTCTTAATGAAACCGGACTCTCCCTTTCACACTAGGTGTGAGCTGGCAACAGACCCTTGGCTAGGAAATTTTGTGACCAGGCTAGATATTTTTCCATGCTAGATATTGGTCTGGTTTGGATTGCAGAGTTCTTGCGCATGCTGTCACAGTCACTGAGTTCAAACGTGCAGCTGTCAGGTTGTGTCTGCAGGACAGAGTTTCCTTATATTCATTCAATATCTCTGGCTTACCTAGTCTTTCAATCTCCTTCTCTGAAGTGATCTCTGTGCTTTGTCAGGAGAGAAGGCAGTATAGGTGTTTCATTTAGAGTTGAGTATTCAGTAGTCTCTTATTCCACACCTTGGTCCGTTTTGCACGTGTGTGTTAGTCACAATATAGTACAAACAGAAGCTTCTCTGGTGAGGATTGAGAGATGCATTAATCTATGGCTATAACAATAAGTCAACAGGAGTCAGTTTAATACTGTGTGTATTTAATAGAGTGGCAGTAGTAGGTTCTCCTTTCATGGCCTATGAACTTCTCGTCAAAGATGTGTGACCCATTAGTAGTGCCAGGTATGAGTTTTGTCTTGTAGAATGGGACTTAAATCCAATAATAATGTCATTGTTTTCTCCCAAAATGATCCCTATTGCAATAGTGGGAGATCTTGATGGTCCAGTTATTGTAGTTCTTAGGGTTCACAGTTGGGTAAGACTGGTGATTACTTTCCTCCTCTGGTAGTATGCAAAGCAACTTTGCACCCTACAAAAGCAAATATGGATAAACTTTCTAGGTAAATAATAGATTAATATCTCCAAGAACTTATTTATTTATTGTCTAACAATTTTATGCATTTACCTGACTAATTCCTTTTTCTCCTTTCCTGGGCCCACTAGAATCCATTTTCTCAATAATTAGTTTTTCATGTCTTCATTCATTTTTGTGATCCAGTGATTTTAGTGAGTTTCTTTCTAGAGCATTGGAAGCAGATTATTTACTACAGCGAGCAGTAGCATATTAACAGCTATAAAAAAAATGACTTCTTTTTCCTCATCAACCAATAATTACTAATATTTTATTAAGAAGAGTTGCTTTTCATGGCCTATTCCTTATCCAGGATGAATTGTTGATAGAATCAGTTTAGTTTATGTCTAATGCAGTTATCAACATTCAGATTTTCATGCTATCAAAATAATGTTAAAGATATAAAAATCTAGAATATTATGACATTGTTTTGTGTTATCATTTCATATTTTACATTTGTTGTTACCAAAATAAAAATGTATGTTTAAAATCTGTTTTGTTTTTGTAGGCCACATTATTTGAAAAAATAGGTATTATGAAATTTGAAGACACGTATGTAGCTATAACGTTAGCTTATCTGACAAAACCAGTTTCAGATGAAAACGTTACAGTGATTGACACAAACTTTAGTGACATTCCTGTTCGTCTGTACTTGCCAAAAAGGAAGTCTGAAATACGAAGACCAGCTATAATTTTCATGCATGGTGGTGCCTTTGTCATGGGAAGTTGCAGTAAGTGTACTTTTATATGTTTGTTATTCATATGACAGAGTATTTGTCAGTACAATGTTGACTTGGTAATATGTTCATCTTAACAGAGATACATTGGAATGTACGAGTTATAGCTCACACTTAATTTTTATATATAATTCGGTTAGTAAAGCAATCAAGCAGAAACAAGATGGTTATGTTAAAAATGTTGTTCTAAATAAACAAATTGATATCCTAAACTTGAACATGCAAACAATAAACTTGGAAATAGATTAAAATAACCTAATGACATAAATTAAATGAACATTGAGGAAAAGCAGGTATTCTAATTGTTAGATCTGAAATAATGTAATTGCTACTATACTACAGCCAACATTTGGTCAAGTTGTAGATTGTGATACAATAATATTAAGGCTTAGGATACAAAGCATTACTTGTATTAAAATTCTAAAAATGGAAGAAAGCTGAGAAAACAGTTTCTTCCTGAAATGTAGAAGCTGAGACAGACAGACAAGCAGACAGACAAAAACACACAAACTTTTAAACTTCTGATGACTTATGAATTTACTACACAGAAAAGCTTTGGGATATTCCACTATGTACTAACAGATGTAACAAACAAGTGATAGAACTCTTTTCCTCAGTGAACTTGAAGCTTGGTTATAATGTCCAGTATTTTGCCTTCATAAACTGTGAACATTCCATGATAAGCAAAAATGCTATTTGTAAAGCTGGGCAGCCAACGGAGTAAGCATTTTTTCAGATAGGTATTTCAGATACTTCGGCACAGTGAGCACCTTTTCATATAGGTATTATCATCATGCTTTTGTAGTGAAGAAACAGAGTAAGAGGTGTTTTCAAAGTCCCGCCATTAGAAACGGGGGGGGGGGGGGGGAGGTGTGAGGGGGTCAACAGGCCTGTGGGAAGAAACCAGGGGATTAAGTCTTCTGCTCCTGCTAAGCAGTCCACCCATGCTCTCGGTGTGTTGCTGGAAAATAACCTCTCAAAAGCTCTAGTTCTTCTGTCTTGCTCCAGTGACTTTGCTGAATTTCCACCCTGAATCCAACCTTACCTTCTCCCTCCAGGACATAATTCTATATGGTTGGAATCTCCCAGTCCACCTCTCTCCTTATCCATCATACTGTCTGAAACTTATTGGCTTCTTACTGATCCCTTCTTTAAGACTCTCCTCTTATACCCTGGGAAAAGGCATCTGTATCTTTTGGTCAAGATGAATCTGTGCTTTCCTAGGGATTATGTTTTCTACCAAATCATCATCTGATTCATTTCTTCTACCTGCAGCTGTAGCCTTTTTATTAATTCTATATATATGTACTGTTTTTTCTTCCTTGACCCCTATTGGCTGCAGTTGCTCTTTCTAATTATTTCTTATCATGCTTTATTTCCCGAGACATGTTTCCTTATACCGTAAGGTCCGTCTCTTTCTCTCCTGTTTCTGTTTGAAACTGTGTAATCTGAAAGGGAGCAGTGACCTTTTTTTACACTATTAGCTTTTATGAAACAAATTTCTTTGCTCTTCCCTTTTCCCCTAAATCCTATCCCTTCATTTGCAACTGCAATTTTAAAGCAAAAGGAAAGCTAAAACCATGCTGAAACAAGCTGTTGCGTATACTTTATTAATATTAATATTACCCACTTTTTAGGATTTTCTTCTTTAGTTGTTGGTTATTGTTTTTCTCTACTTTATTCTTGTTTCCGCTCTAGTTCCTATGCCCATTATGATGATATAGGTTCTGCTTCCCATCTCTAACATTGTTTCTGAACTTAAGTTCAATAAATGCATCTGCAGACTGGGCTGCATACCTGATCATTAGTGTATCATGTGAATTTCTTAATATTATTTTCTTAAAGAGTAAATGGGAAAATAAAGCTCTCAGGAATACAAGAAAGGCAAATGTATGCCAGGAGAGACCACCATGTTTTCCTTCACAGTCTTTTAGGTCCTACATTTTATGACATGTTTTGGCCACAAATTATGAGCAGCTTCTTGTAAATTATGTAAATTATTATTTGGATTGCTTCCTAGTCTTTCATCCCTGGTGGATCACCAACATTTCATCATTTCTTTTACTTTCTTTTTTAGCTTTCCATGATTAAGAATTTGGCTGCATTGATTGTTAATAAATATCTCAGAAATAGTATCCATTTGTTTACCAATCTTTTATCAAACACTGAACTGAAGATGCTTACATTGCCCCTTTGTTATCTTGTCCACTTTCTGCCTCTGCTTTCCTTAAGTCTATATTTAAAACATATTTAGCTACATAAATATGTAGCTAGAATTCACAAGCTCTGTGAATTCTCAAAAAATTGTTGTACATTTTACTGAAACAATATTTCACTTTTCTCTTGTTCATTTTCTGATAATTATTATTTTTATGTTAAACAATATGGATGCCAATTTATGCTTTGCATGTGAATTAATATTTATTGCTATTTAAATATAATATTTGATATTACTTTTCCTTAAATTTTTAGGAAAGTATTCTCCATTTTTACCTCCTTGAATGTTATTAATGTTTATTAATCTTGAATTAACTTTTGTACAGGGTTACAAGTGTAAGAACACATTTTTATTTGATTTTAATGAAAATTAATTTTGTCAGGCCACAGAGGAGGACTTTGCAGCCAGTCTTGAAGATACCTGATAAAACAGGGTCAGATGAAAGGGGAGGAGGTCCTCCCCTATCAATGGACTTGGAAAGGGGCAGGAAGGAGATGAGGGAGGGAGGGTGGGATTGGGAGGGAATGAGGGAGCAGGATACAGCTGGGATACAGAGTTAATAAAATGTAACTAACAATAAAAAGAAAACTAATTTTGTCACTTACATACAGAAAGGTAACTTATGTATAAAATAGTTTACTTGTTAATTTATTAACTATCCATCCCCATATGTAAACATATAAGCCTCTAGGGGAAAAAAATAGCTAGTCTGTTTTAATAGCATTAAAGTACACATTGCCTAAAGTAAGTTGATGCACTTCCTGAAAAGATCTTTAAATAAATAGTAACTATGGTAAATATCTGAATTTGGAAAAAGTTTAGTGCTGGCTACAATGTTATTTTCAACTTATTTCCACACTTTCTAATCATTTTTCCAAGTGTTTTATGGAGTGTGGTGGTAATGAGTTGTAGCCAGTCTTTTCCCTGAGCTCAATAGACTTTTGCTCTACTTGACAACAAAATGATTACTAAGATTTCATCAATCAATTAATCAAATTTTACATTTCTATTGGATTCATTATTGTTTCTGCATTTCCATTGTTTGCTATTTCCAGTGTATTCTTTTATATTTATTCCTTTTATTTCAGAGTCATCCACCCATGATGACCTGAACAGATGGACATCAAACAAGCTTGATGCTGTTGTTGTGGGAATAGAGTAAGAGAATGATAGTACTTCTTAACACAGCTCTTGCACTCAATATAACTTGGCTTTTTCAGAGCTTGTCTCCTAGCCAACAAAAAGCTATATCCCATGGATTTATGTTTACAGTAATTTTGTTATAGTTTTAATGTCAATGTGTCCACAAAGATATCAGTATTTACTTTGATTTCTGCCATTTTAGATACAAGTGTGAGGCCAAAAGAATAAGCACATTTGTTATCACAGTTATGACATCTCTAGAACTATGAACTCAAGATTTTCAAGCACCTAATTTTATCTGCAAGTAACATACCTTGAAAGTATTCTCATTATATGCTCGAGACAATAAATTTTAATTTGCCTATTTATAAATACTGTGTGGGGATAGAATTGTTCTTAGGTGTAATTCTACTAGGTGAAAATACTAGAATAATTTGTATATTTCAAGACATTATCCAAACTATAAGTCTTGATAGTTACAACATGACTTTTGCAAACCTTTACAATAATATACCAAAACTATGAGCAAGTACTTATTTACTTTAGGACCTCACGTGTGTCCTCTGTAATATTGAAATTCCCAGCAGCAGAATAAAATAATTTCTATTTATCTTGCCAATTCCATAGTGCAGATACAGACTTAGAAAACTGTACATCTTATACAAGATCACTACAAGGAATTTTATATTTAAATGTATATTTGGGACCAGCAGGGAGGGTATCTGTTCTGTCCTGCTGTTGAAAATGGAACAAGATAAATTCCTTAAACTTTAAGAAATAGCTAAATTGAGACAATAATTAGGCAGTGCCTTTACTGGTATAATTTTAATTAAGTTTAACACAGTATAATTTTAGTTAAGCTTTTTAAATAGTGAAATATGTTGTATATTGTTTAAGAATTCCACAGGTTTATTTTAAAGTATTTGTTGTTCTTTACCTTGAAGAATATTAATTTTTGTATTACTGTGCTCAGATTATGTGAATTTTAAACATTTTAGGCATAGGTTAAAATACAAACCCTTACAAGGATCAGCTGGTGAATATTGCTTAATATAATCATGTGAATGATTCATAAATTCTAATGGATATTAGGGCGATAGAAAGAAAAAGTGACACAGCTCAACTGAGGTGTAGTTTTATCACAGAACCTGGACACATGCACAGCAAAAGATGAACAGATGCAACAGTACTTATAGTTTTATGAATATACTTAAAATTTTAGAAAGATGAATTCGTGGTTTGCTTTAAAATATTCATATTTAAGATTATTCAAATATCTTCATATTTGCTCTAATATTTTCTGCATTTAATATTTCTGGGTAGTCTAATATTTCTGAGTTGCTCTTGAGTCACCAAGTGCACTGAGGGCTACGAAGCACACAGATTTCATAGTGTGAACACACCTTCTGTCCCACTCCTTCCTCCTCGCCACCAGTACCTGAAACCTGAACCAGATACTACTTCTCACTTTAAGACAGAAGCCACCTTTGGTGAGAGTTATGATTGCTGGGAGTTATGATTGAAAATATGCCTAGTAGTATCAGTGTGAGATATTTTTAACTAGGCCTTTGTTACTTTTTTTCTTGATTTACCTCTAAAGCTACAGACTTGCACCTCAGCATCCATTCCCAGCTGCCCTTGAAGACTGTGTTTCTGTGGTCAAGTTCTTTCTCCAGGAAAAGGTTCTTGCCAAATATAGAGTGGATCCAGGTCGCATCTGTATTTCAGGAGACAGTTCTGGGGGTGCCTTGGCAGCCACAGTGACTCAACTGGTATGTTGTATGTGCTATATGTACTTTTTAAATCCTAATGCAAAAGAAGCTGTGTTTTAAGTATGTTTGCAATACTTTTATAACGTTGTCTGTGAAATTTAAAATAAACAGGTGAGATTATTCATTTTGAATGATATTATTTTAGTTATGGATTTAACCGTATAGCACTAAGTAAGGCTTTAACAATCCTATTATTTTAGGAGGTTTGAGGCATATGCAGGTTTTGGGCGTTGTACCCAGGGCTGTGTGATTGGCAGGCAAAGATGCTACTCCTGGACTATGCAACTTTCTCCTCCAAACTTTCTGTTTCAACACGGGATTTTGATAAGATTCTCTGAACTGCTCTGTAGTTTGTTCAGGTCTTGAATTTGTGAGCCTTCTGCTGCAACAACTCAGGAAGAAGGTATTAGAAAATTGTAATAATGACCTCGACTTACCCTGCCAGTGTTAAGTAAAAGCTCACCAATTCCTCTCAACTACTCTGTCCATTTTGATAAAGAATCCCTTCTGTTCACAACTTAATTGAAATTACGTAGAAAATCTATAAAAAAACTATTAATATTTTTATCATTATAGTTGAAAAGTGTATTAATTACTTTTCTTCCTTCTAACTAAACATCTGACAGGAAGTAACGAATAGGAAGAAGTTAATTATGATGGCTCCTGAAACATTCAGAGCCTCCTGGCAGGCAGACAGGCAGGGGGAGTTGTGGCAGTGGAGTGCAAGGCTGCCTGCTTTTTCCTTGCAAGTCTAGAAGTCTCAGTGTGATGACGGCTGGAACTCAACTTCATTTTTGATTATTCCTGTTTTCTTCTTTTAGGGGACTCTAAGTCTAGGCCAGTTGATATTGACGAGTAACCATGATCATGTGGTAAATGTGTAGATTGTCAAAGATAACACTGGGCAACTTATCGTGCTTTTATAGAAGAATTCCTACTGTAATTAAGTCACCTCCTATTAAAGTTTTTGTTGAATATAGCTAAACAATTACCATCAAATAGGTAATGTTTTGAAAAGCAATACATGTTCAGTCCAATACATGGTTTACTAATCCCCAAAATTCCATGTAGAACAAAATCACATTTTCTATCTTTTTTTTTTTTTTAACCATCCAGATTGGCTTCCTTTTACAAAGCAGAAGTAGTCTCAAAGTTTGTATGTATTTAATTTTAGAAAGTACTTCCATGTTTTTTTTAATCTTATCATTCAACTAATATGTTTACTTCTTCAAGACTGACTTATTTTAAGAGAATTATCACTTTAATTATGCAACTATTGGGGAGAGGGGTAAGGGAAGAGAAGTGGGAGGGCAGGATTGGGAGAAGGCTACAACTGGGATTCAAAGTGCATAAGTTGTAATAAATAAAATATTTAAATGCTGGGAAAAATAAAATCCCAATAAAATGCCATCTTCTATAACCTAAAAAATACTTGAAAATTTTTGTTGAATGATTTGAATGTTTTGTTTGGTGGTGTCATCGGTGCACAAGAAGGCTCTAAAGCAGGTCGTGGTTCTCTAATAGATGTTATAGAAAACAAAAGATGTGTGTTTTGTGGTTTAAATAAACATAACATAAAATTGTTTTCTCTATTAATTACAAAGAGTTTCTTGGGAATCCAACTTTTTCATATTCATTCTTACTGTATAGACATAGCACTTTTCACCAATGGAAAACAATGATTTTTAAGAAAGGAAAACACTATTCAACATTCTTCATAGACACTATATATACATACATATATATATAATTTTAAATATTGTGCATTTTAATTGCCAACATGATTGAAACACACATGACAGGTCTTCTGTTCATCTTCATGATCCACTATCTATTAGACTTTCAGTGCACACTCAGAGACAACAGAGAAATGACTAAGACTACATCAGCTGAGCTTCTAAGTAAACATGAGGTCCCTCTAGAAGCAGGACTTGCAATAAGACCTTGGTTGCTCTTGTTTTATAGTAAATAAAAAGTGTTGAGCTATATTTGTTTATTATTTGCCCTAAAATTATAATGGTGGTATTATCTAACACATTATCACAAATAATAGGACACAGATAGCTGGTAGATTTTATAATTGCCTTATTTACCTTGGACTGGGCAGATATTTCTACTTATGTTGTCTAATCACCTCATCATCCCACTCCCAGCCCCCACCCAATATCATCCTCCTTAACCACCCTATCTCCTATCCATAATCATATAAATACTTGTTTTTACTCTTCATCTTGGCCTTTTTTCTACAGCCCCACGTGTTTTGTTTTGTTTTGTTTCTTTCCAGACTAAAACATAGTGGTGTCCTCTTTCTTCCTCTCTTCCCATCTGTCTCTCTCCCATGATTCTCCACAAAAGCCTAGGAACCCTAGCCATACCTACTCCATTTTGCCATTTTCAGGTATAGGTTGTTTAATCAGCCAGATCAGCCAGTCAGGTATGTCTTAAGCAGGTTTACTCAAACAAGGTTGAGTGTATCTGACAAGCAGTAACCAGATCTTTAGGGCCAGTAATTACCATTAGATCAGCCTCCAACACTCTTGCCTCACTGGATATTCCCTAATGTAGCATAAAAAAGAATGACAGTCTCTGAAGAAATAGAAGAAGATATCAGAAGATGGAAAGATCTCCCATGCTCATGGTTTGGTAGAATTAACATAGTAAAAAGGGTCACCTCCTCAGATGCTGAAAAAGCATTTGACAAAATCCAGCATCCATTCATGTTTAAAGTCTTGAAGAGGTCAGGGATACAAGGCACATACCTAAACATAGTAAAAGCAATATACAGCAAACCTATCACCAATATTAAACTAAATGGAGAGAAACATAAATCAGTCCCACCAAAATCAGGGACAAGGCAAGGTTGCCCATTCTCTAAATTTCTCTTTCACATAGTTCTTGAAGTCCTTGCTAGAGCAATCAGAGAATTAAAGGAGATCAAAAGGATACAAATAAAGGGAACATCACTGTGAACCCCTATGTTAACAAAGTTCTAAGAAGTCATTTAGAAAGATGGTGAAAAAGGGGGTGGGAGTGTGGGATTGGGAGGGGAGGAGGGAGGGGCTTATGGGGGATACAAAGTGAATAAAGTGTAATTAATAAAAATAATAATAATAATAAAATATAAAAAATAAAAAAAACAAAAAAAAGAAAGATGGAAGTATGATGTATGGTTTAATTAAATAAAAATAGGGTAGATATTTACATATGGTGACAGCTCAGAAAGAGTCAAAAAGTATGGTTTTGAATAAAGTTACCTTGTATTTAGCTGAATAGGATTTTAAGTATAATATATATGTTATATATATTAAAATATGATAATTATATTATATATTATATTATAATGTTTATAATATATGTTGCATATTATATATAGTGTTTTAATATATATGTGGAATATATGTAAATATATGTAATATAGGTCATATAGAGAGAGTTTTGCTGGATGGTGATGGCTTACTTGTTTAATCACAGCACTCAAAAGAGGAGGCAAGCAATCTTTGATTTTTGAGATCAGCCTGGTCTACAGAGTGATATCTAGAACAGCCAGAGCTACACAGAGAAACCCTATCTTAAAAAGCCAAAGATAGATAGATAGATAGATAGATAGATAGATAGATAGATAGAGTGTGTTTATAGAGAAACCCTGTCTCAGAACACCAACTAAAATATATAAATATATTATGTATTAATATAAATATATAATTATATTATATATAGTACACCATACATACTACATACATGACTATTAATAAATTAACATATAACTATTAATTTATAAAATAATTATATTTTATAATTAAATATGTATCAGCATAACTACATTTATCATGTATACTTAATATCATAAAGTATTAATTATATATTTGATAATATAATGATCAATTATATTAATCATAATAATTTGTTTTAACACAATATAATTTTATGATTATAATATAATATAATTGTATAAATATATTATATTATTATAAATATGAATGTAATGTTTAAATTATGCATAATAATATGCATACTTTTGTGAGACAGCATTTCTCTTTGTAGGTACATGCTCTATACACACACATACAGTGTTAGACATAAAGTGAGGAATAATCATTCTTCCAGTGGTAGTGTGGCAAATTGCTCTTTGAGTTTAGGAATTAAGCCTTTTCATTAGGTATTAAGGTATACAAACATAAGTTTGTATGATTATGGTACAAATTAAATACATACTAAGATACATGGACTAGTTGTTTCCAGAATACTAATCTTTTGATTGTACCATTAACTTTTGACATTTTGTTCTTTAGCTGAGTGAGAAAAAATAAAATGTGGTTCATGACTTGAACTAAAATGGGTAAGAGCATTTTGTGCTAAATTAGCAAAACGCATGATGGAAGGCTGAAGGATATTAGATTCAAAATATTTGTAACAAAATGAATTTATTGAGGGCTGGAAAGTTGTGTCAACTAGTAAAGGTTCTGGACAGACACACATTAAATAAATATATAATAAATAAAGCTAGTAAAAGTTTTGAAAAAAAATAAAGTTGGAAAAGAGACACATTGTGGAAAATGACAGGGGATTAGGAACTTTACTGGAGGGCTGATCAAAGAAACTACTACATAGAGTTACCTTGGGGACCATAAACTATTCTCTGTTGAGCTGAGATGCTGAGGTCCACACTGTTGCTACTGCCGTCATGCCCTCCTACCCCACCCTACGCTCCCTGTTTCACCAGCCACACAGACAGCCATCAGCAAACGTTATTTTTAGTGGTACATGAACGGCCCTTTATTGGAGTGGCTACTGAAATTCTGTTAGAATGATGACAAGAAAAGTCTAGAGCTAAGTCAATCAATTTAACTGACCACATTTATTATGCACATTTTTACAAGGTCATTTTTCTAGCTGAGGAGATGGGAGTTATCCTTACAGCTGCACCGTTTTTCCATCCAAGGTTCTAGCATCAGGGTATTTGGACAGAAGGTCTCAAAGGTTGTAAGGGTGGCACCCTTCTCAAAAAGTTATGGTGTCACAGAAGGCTGTCAGAAGTGAAAAGAGCGTGAGAAGCAAAGATGTGGTCCCCAAGTCTCCTTTCTGTGCTTTGAGGCTTGGATACTTTGGGCCAGGTTAGATGCTGTGATGCCAAGGTTAAGACTGATATTGCTGTTCCTCAGGTTTTTGGTGTCCTAGATAAATGAAGACACTGTCAATTCTTCAGTAACTGTCCCCGTCAGTGAAACAGGACTTTTAACTGGTCACCAGTCTCTAAAGGGAATTTGGCATAGAACATTCTGAAAGTGCTTTTAGTGAACTGAGATTCACTCTTTTCGAATTTAAAATAAAATATAATATAGATATTCATAAGTTCTTGTGATGTTTTTATTCAAAAAGCTTTTGGTAATAAAGTTAAAAAAATCTTACTTAGTCATAAAGACAAATATTTCTGCCATGAAGTTTGACTAGATTTATGACAGTGTCATTAGAGAAAATGGAGGCTGAGTAACTCGGGATAGCAGAGGAGTAGGGAAATTGAAAGCACAGACATTCATGGTATTTCTCTGTATGCTTTTTGGGTTTTATTGCAGCTTCTTTTTTTTTTGATTTAATGATTATGATTTTCAACTACTACTGAGAACGCTTGTTCCTTGTTTTATCTCCTTTGAATGTCACGTTTTATTTAATGTCTTTGGGGGTACACATATTTTTGTGAGTATGCACATATGTGTGTGTGTGTGACAAGCATGTACACGTTCATGTGTGTGCTCATGAATGTAGAAGCCAGAGTTGATGCTGCCTCTATCTTTCTCAACATTACTTTTGAGTCAGGGTCTCTCACAGAGCATGGAGAACCCTGAGTCAGCTAGACAGGCCATCCAGTCAACTTCAAGGATCCTTGTGTGTCCACATCACCTGCTCAGTGCTGGGGTAACAGGTATATGCTGCTGTGCGGAGCTTTCTTTGTTCTGGCCATCAGTACCCAGGTCATCAAACTGTTTCCTAAATAATCCATCACTCAGTCTCTGATTTCACTAATTTCTCATCTTCTTCTGTAATTCAGTATGAAATTTCAAAGGTCAAACTAAGACATAACCTGTTATTCCTGAAGTATAAGCATGTGTGCAGTCTCACTAGAGGGCAGCACTTCGGTCACAGGAAGAAGCTATCACATGACTCTACCTCTATTTGACACTATTCTTACCACTGCTTTTCTACTAATCTGAGAGACTGCCATTTATTTATAAAACTTCCATTCCAAAGCCATTGTGAAAAATAAGAACCTTGGAGGGAGTCTCTTGGGATTTTTTTTTTTTTTCTTGAACTTGTAGAACCTCCTTTCTGTTGTTCTGAAATATGGAGTTGATCAGGTGGGTAGCCTTGTGATGAGGTAATAAGATTTCATAGATTTTTTTTTTCATTTCATGTAAGTTCTTTGCCTTCGTGAGGGTGTGACCTTAAGAACTCTTTGCATCGCTTGGGGTTCCCCGCAGAATGGCAGCACCTACAGGTGCTGAGGCAGAACTGTTGTAGATGCTGGAGCTGTATAGTGTCCACACTTGCAGGGAAGTCTAGGTTCACTGCTGTGGATTGTACAAGAAAAAAAGAATGTAGCTACAGGCATAGGATTCCTCTTATTTCTGATAAGAAACAGAGACTGCAACGCAACATTCCACAGCTTTTTCTGATTTGCTGATTTTCATAATGATTCTCTTTATCATCTCTCATTTTTATTACACCAAACTAGTTAGATAAACTTTAAGTGTTTTCTCTAGCATGAAAAGGTCCATTAGACTTTAGTTTACATGTGAATATTGGCAGTTGTATTTCATTATATTTGTAAATTTTGCTTATTTATTACTCAGGTCGACAATTCTTTTAGGAAAACTAGAAATTCTAATGCATGTTTATTACTAGAGTTATTGGGAGACTGACACAGAAGGACCCTATGTTACATAACAACCCTAAGATGTGCAAGAGGCTTTATTACAAAAAACGAAAGCTAAATTTCTTAAATACGTAAATAAATTTGCAAAAGCCCAACTTCAGAAACAAAAAGCTTGTCTTCCTCACTAAATGTTGTTGATCAACCTCCTGTTTGGCTGTCATATGTGAATAAACGTGTGAATAGCGGAGTGGTTATTGTGACTAAACTCTTGTCATCCTCACTAACATTACATTGATCATATTCCTGTTTGTCACATGTGAATAAATGGGTGGGCAAGAGAGTGTGTGTTGTTTCTGTAGATGACAGTGGAATTTCTCTAAACTAATGGCCAAATGTTGAGAGAAAAATCACTAGATAGCATTTTTTATGAATAGATTCTTTTCCCCCTGGCTACTACAATGAAATTACAAATTGTATTGTTTTAAAGCAATTGACTCATTAGTATTCATTATATTTCTAGCTACAAAATGATCCAAAATTCAAAGATAGAATTAAGGCACAAGCCTTGATATACCCTGGCCTACAGTCGATTGATACTTCTCTGCCATCTCATCGAGAGTATGCACATGGTCCGATTATGTTCCGGGAGGCCACACTTAAGTTGTTATGCTTATATGTGACTGAAGACAAAGCTCTCCTCCAGGCTGCACTGAAAAATGAGCACATGCCAGAAGAATCAAGACATCTGTTCAAGTTTGTGAACTGGAGTGACTTCCTTCCTGAGAAGTATAAGAAGAACCATGTTTACACTGAACCAGTTCTCGGGAAACTGAAGGCTTCCTATCCAGCACTCTTGGATAGCAGGCTGTCCCCTTTGCTAGCCAGTGACTTCCAGTTACAGAGTTTGCCACTGACCTACATCCTCACTTGTGAACACGATCCCTTAAGAGACGATGGTCTCATTTACATCTCACGCCTTAGAAATGTTGGAGTTCAAGTTACTCATGACCACATAGAGGAAGGAGTCCATGGAGCCCTGTCATTCACTACGGCTCCAGTGTTTTTACATTTAGGATTAAAAGTAAGAGATAAGTATATTACTTGGTTAGAGGAAAATCTGTAAAGAAATAGTGCAGGTATCTAGGTAGTCAGTTAAGCAATCTCATAAATTTATTTTGAACTATTGTGTGGTTTATTGGCACAAAATAAACTGACTTGTGTATAAAGCTGCACAGAATTTAAATAAAGATTACTGTATGTTTGAGAATGTTATTTCACCTTCTTAGTGTTAGAAATATTGCTAAAACGAGGGTGCTCACTTCTTTATCCTATTAATTACCATTTGTTATGAAAGATGTATTCTGAGTATTCAAAGATGGCAGAACAATTTAAAAATATGAGTGTTATATTAAGTATTTTGTGTACCTGGCCCTTTAAATGACCTATACCCTTCAGTTGACTCTTGGATTTCTGGGAACAAGAGAGTGTATAAAAAGATTTAATCAGAGAAGTTTGAGAACCAAAAATCAGAAGAAAAACGTTAAACATAAAAAAAAAAGGGAAACAGATATGTTCATTCTCAGCGACTGAACCAGAGAGAAGGAATTCCCTCCATGTAGAAGGTGAGAAGGGGACAGTGTCGATGAGCAGTACAGTCAAAGAATGGAAAAGCAGAAGGATGGTCAGATGAGACAGCATTTTCCAGGAGACAGGGTGAAATCCACAGCACCTTTGGAAAACAGGCATCCCTTGGTCAAAAACAATCACCAACAACATTTCCAATACTTATACAGCATGTGCCTGCTAATAAGGATAATCCAAAAGGTTATGATGAAATATGATCGAGTTCTGTAAAAATGAAAGATGTAAAGAGTTAGAAGGAGGCAAGAATGTCTTATGGAATGCACTAATTCATTGTAGAACAAACTGTAAATAATTGGGCTTCTCAAGAGAAAAATTATTCCCCAAGACTGGAGGAAATTTGATACAGCTGCCATGGTTGTCATAGAGGAGAAAAAAAGCCAGGCATTTGTAACATCACATTAGAACAAGAAGAATTAATAAATGAAATGGGCAATTTTCTTGATAGAGTCCACTTACCAAAGTTAAATCAAGATTAGGTACAGAAGTTAAATAGTCATATAATACCTAAGGAAATAGAAGCAGTCATTAAAAGTGTCCCATTAAAAAAAAATATCCCAGGGCCAGATGATTTCATTGCAGAATTCTACCAAACTTTCAAAGAAGAGCTAATACCAATATCCTCAAACTAGTCCACAAAATAGAAGCAGAAGAAACATTGCCAAACTCAGTCAATGAAGCCAGTCATCCTGATATCTAAATCACTCAAAGACCCCAAAAAAAGAAAGAGAATTTCAGACCAATTATCCTTGTGACCATTGATACAAAAAAAGTCAATAAAATACTCACAAACCTAATTCAAGAACACATCAAAAGTATCATCCACCATGATGAAGTAGGCTTTATCTCAGGCATGCGGGGCAGGTCAATATGGTAAAATACATCAACATAATCAACCATATAAACAAACTAAGAAGATGGAGGTTAGATGAGACTGCGAGGAGAAGAGGGAGGAGGCTACAGCACGGATACAAAGTAAAAAAATTGTAATAAATAAATATAAAAATAAATTTAAATTAAAAATGGTCATCTCATTAGATGCCAAAAAATAATAATAATAAAACAGCATTTGACAGAAAACAATACCCCTTCATGATAAAAATCTGGAAATGATGAAGGATACAAGGCATATACCTAAACATAATAAATACAATATAGAGCAAACCTATTGCCAACATCAATTTAAATGGGAAGCAACTTAAAGCAATTACACTGAAATCAGAGACAAGATAAGACTGTTCATTCTCTCTGTATCTCTTCAATATAGTATTTAAATCTTAGCCAGAACAATAAGACAACAAAAGGAGATCAATGGGATACAAATTGGTAAGGGAAAAGTCAAAATATCACTATTTGCAGATGATATACTAATATACATAAGAGACCAAAAAAATTTACCAGAGAATTATTACAGCTGATAAACACCTTCAGCAAAGTAGCTAGATACAAAGTTAACTCAAAAAAATCATTAACCCTTTTGTATACAAAAGACAAACAGGCTGAGAAGAAATCATGGAAGGAACACCTTTCACAATAGCCCAAATAATATAAGGTATCTTGGTGTAACTCTAATCAAGCAAGTCAAGGCATGGTAGGACAATAACTTCAAGTCAATGAAGAAATAAATTGAAGAAGATATAAGAATACAGAAAGCCTGTGAACATGGGTCAGTGAGATTAATATAGTACAAATTTCTATCTTACTAAAAGCAATCTATGGATATAGTACAATTCCCATCAAAATAACAACAAAATACTTTATTGACTTTGAAAGAACCATTCCCAATTTCATATGGAAAAACAAAACCAGAATAGCTAAAACAATTCTAAACTATGAAAGATCCAGAGATATCTCCACCCTTGATTTCAAGCAATTCTACAGAGAAAGAGTAATGAAAACTGCATGGTACTATCACCAAAATAGCCTAGCTGAGCAAAATGGAATTGAATTAATGTCCCAGAAGTAAAACTAGACACCTACTGACACTTGGTTTTCAACAAAGAAGCCAAAACCATACAAGGGAAAAAAGAAAGCATCCTCAACAAATGGTGCTGGTCTAACTGGTTGTCTACATGTATAAAAATTCCAATAAATCCTTATTTATCACTCTGTACAAAACAAAAGTCCAACTGGATCAAAGACCTCAACATAAAACCAGATACGCTGGTAGGCTTAGATTTTTCACCAAACCTACCTTATTTAGGGTTCTTCAATGCTTCTACACCTCTTCCACCCCCTGAACAAAAACCAGTCTCACTGTCCATGGGATCTTATATATCTTATCTCCTCAGAGTCCACCCACAGATGTTTTCATCTGGCCAAAGTCATGGCCCTTGTACAAGATAGCTTGCAACAAGATATCATGTGCCCTTCACAAGACAGCTTCAAGCAAAACACATGACACAACTGAGTCTTCAAAGCAACAACAACAACAACAAAAAAACCCAAAAAACTAGAATCTTCCACTTCATACACTAAATCTATTCAAAGAGAAAGTGGGGAATAGCCTTGAACTCATTTCCATAGGAGACAACTTCCTGCACAGAACACCAACAGCCCAGACTCTAAGAGCAAAAACTAAAAAATGGGACTTTTGAAATTGAAAAGCTTTTGTAATGCAAAGGACACTGTCAATAGAATAAAAGGAGAGTCTACAGATTGGGAAAAGATGTTTATCAAACCTACATCTGAAAAAGGGCTAATATCCAACATATATAAAGAATTCAAGAAATGAAACACCAACAAATAAAATAATCAGTTAAAATGGGTACAGAAATAAACAGAGAATTTTCATAAGAGCAATATCAAATAGCCAAGAAGGACTTAAAGAAATGTTCACCATCCTCAGCCATCAGGCAAATGCAAATCAAAACTACTTCGAGTTTTGAAGTAGTTTTGTACATCTTACACCAACCAGAATGGCTAAGATGAAAACTCAAGTGACAACACATGCTGGAGAGGCTGTGGAGGAAGGGGAACCCTCCTCCACTGCTGGTGGGAATGTAAACTTGTACAACCACTGGAGAAATCAATCTGGTGCTTTGGGAATAACTCTACCTCAAGATCCAGCTATATTACTTCTGGGTACATAATTAAATATGCTCTATGATACAACAAGGGCATTTGATCAAATATGTTCACAGTAATACCAGAATCTGGAAACAACCTAGATGTCCCTAAACTGAAGAAGGGATAAAGAAATTGTGATTCATTTACACAATGGAATATTACTCAGCTGTTAAAAACAAAGAAATAATAAAATTTGAGAGCAAATGGATGGAACTAGAAAAGATCACCCTGAGTGAGGTAACCCAGATCCAGAAAAACGCACATGCTATGTACTCACTTATAAGTGGATTTTAGCCATATAGTACAGGACAATCATATAACAACTAACAAACCTAAAGAAGATATATAACAAGGAGGAACCAAGAAAGGATGCTTAACTCCCACTCTGAAGTAGAAATATAATAGACTGTGGAAATTGTTAAAGAGAAGGAACAGGTAAAGAAAGGGAGCATGGAGAGAAATGAGGGTGGATATCAGAATTATTTAACTTCCTTAGGAATATAGATTTTAGTATTTTTATCATGTATTATATGTCTAATATCCACTTATAAGTGAGTATATACCATGTGTGTCTTTCTGCTTCTGGTTACCTCACTCAGGAAGTTCTTTTTTAGTTCCATCCATTTGCCTGCAGATTTCATGATTTCATTGTTTTTAATTGCTAAGTAGGTTTCCATTGCATAAATATAACTCAATTTCTACATCCATTCCTCAGTTGAGGGACATCTAGGTTGTTTTCAGATTCTGACTATTACGAATAAAGCTGCTATGAACATAGTTGAGCAAATGTCCTTCTTGAACAGTTTAGGATCTTTTGGTTATATACTCAGGAGTGGGATAGCTGGAGCCTACCACAGAGGGCTTCTGAAAGACTCTACCCAGCAGGGTATCGAAGCAGATGCTGAGACTCATACCCAGACTTTGGGCAGAAGGGGAGATAGAAATACCTGGAGGGAACAGGAGCTCCATAAGAATATCAACAGAACCAAAATATATATATATATATCTGCATCCAGGGTAGCCTGCAGAGATTGATGAATCAATCCAGCAGCATGCATGGAAAGGAGCTACATCCCCTGCTCAGATGTAGCCCATAGACAGCTCAGTTACCACGTGGGTTCCCTAGTTAAAGGAGCAGCATCTGAATTTCAAATGCAGGTGACACTGAGTGAGTCAGAGGGGAAGTTTTGTGTGGAAAAAAGTTCACTGGGTGCTTGCACCCTTTGGGGTTTTAGATGAGTATCCAGAACTCACAAGGCTACTGCAAACTACATCAACCTAATTTATGCATGCGTGGACTGGACCTAGGTTCCTATACATTTGTAGCTGATGGACATCTTGATCTTCATGAGGTTCTTTTAGCCATTAGAGTGGGGGCTGTCTCTGATATGGACTCTGATGCCTCCTTTTAGA